CCCCAAAACCCCAAAACCCCAAAACCCCAAAACCCCAAAACCCCAAAACCCCGATTTTGAAGAGTTTTATTGAATTTATTATATGATGAAGATCCTTTGAATGCTTTAGATTGTGCCTTCTGATAGAAGCTTCACAAAATGATGTCCTTAAAATCTTGTTTATTTTGTGAAGTATTCCCTAAGTTCTTTACAGAAATCCTTCTTTGGGTTGATAGTTACCTTCTTAAGCTCCTTCTTACTTTTTGGATATTTGATTCTACTTAAACTTCTATTATGCCCAATGCTTCCAATAGATTTCTCAAGTTCTGAGATTTCATGAGTTATCTCAAAAGTGTTTGGCTTCATGTTACTTCCACTAATAAGAAGGTCTTCTCCAATCTTGAAAAATTTCTCTTCTCCCTGCTTATTCTCTTCCATTCCTGGTCCGAAGCTCTCTCACAGGTCCTGTTTAGGCGGAGTGTCGTAGTCTAGAACAAGAAATTAGAATATTTCATAATTAGTCTTACTTCCTTGAGTATTATATCTCTGATCTTTTAAGTTGCCAAGGATGTTAGAACTATCTGCTATACCACTGTTGTCACTTTTGCTCCTTTCCAAGAAGGCCTGATTAAGATTACTTTCAGGGCCTCTCATATCAGATAGAGCACTCAAGTTATTTTTGTTGGATCTTTTACCAAGAGTTTTCTTTTCCATCGGGACTTCATCATCTTGAAACTGTTGATCTCCAAGCTTGAAGTAGTCTTCTTCATCGTCAAAGAAGGTTGGGTTAGATTTAGCGCAGTCAACTTGGCTTTTAAGTTCCTCCATCTCGCTTTTGATTTCGTCTATCTCAGTCCTCAGTCTTTCATTTTCTTCTACAACTGTGGTAATCCTTCTCTTGCTTGATGGATCATCGCAGATATATTTGATCTCAGAGAGTTTGTTCCTGAGATGTAGATCTTTCCTCGCATAATTGACAACAATTCGTTCTAATTCGCTCCATTTCTTTTCTTTATCTATAAAATGAGTTAGAAAATATGTATGAACAGAAAGAACATTTGTGGGGTAAAACTTCTGGAAAGTTCAAAAGCATTAGTTTACTCTGGAACATATTTTCAGTCCGTTCGAGTTTGACCTTGATTTCTTCTGCTCTTTCTGTCATTTCTCTCTCCTTCTCCTCGTTGTTGGTCTCATTAATGTTCATCTGTTTCTTCAGCATGAGGATTTCAGCAAGGAGAAATTCTATTTTCTCATCTTTTTCTTCAATTAACTTTCTTAACTGGGTTACACAGCTACTGAGATTATAGTGCTGCTTCATGTAGAAGCATTCTCTTCATAAGTTATCGTCTCCAGTTGATTGGCTTGGCCGGGATGAGGATTTCCCACCACCAATGACCGACTGGAGGATCTCTTTGTGGACATTGAGGTTTTCCTGACACTGGCTAAATCTCTGTTTCTCTAATGCAAGCTGTTCATTAAGGTATTCTATTGTGACCTTTTCGTTCTTGTGCATATTTTTGTAATTCCAATTGATTATTTAATTTAAGGGGTTTTGGGGTTTTGGGGTTTTGGGGTTTTGGGGTTTTGGGGTTTTGGGG